GTCGGTGAAACTCCGACGAAACAGTTTGTCACAGCCCCTCGTTTGTTGTCCTCTTCTCTCTCTCTGCCTACGGTTTACAGGGCAGTTCTGTTTGTATCGTCACAAACAGAACTGCCCGGTAAACCGTAGGCACAGAGAGAGAAGAGGACAACAAACGAGGGGCTGTGACAAACTGTTTCGTATATATATATCTGTTTGTGACGATACATATATATATATGATGAAACTCCGACGAAACAGTTTGTCACAGCCCCTCGTTTGTTGTCCTCTTCTCCCTCTCTGCATACGGTTTACCGGGCAGTTCTATTTGACGATATATATATATATATATACTGCCCGGTAAACCGTATGCAGAGAGGGAGAAGAGGACAACAAACGAGGGGCTGTGACAAACTGTTTCGTCGAACTGCCCGGTAAACCGTATGCAGAGAGGGAGAAGAGGACAACAAACGAGGGGCTGTGACAAACTGTTTCGTCGGAGTTTCACTGACTCATCAGGAGGCGGAACCCTCAATAGTCTGCAGAATCCCCTAACCGATTACACTTTAAGTGATAATCCACCTTAACCCCGGTTGTGGTTAAGCATCAACGACTGCCCGACAACTGATACCTTGAGGTGGGTTTCAAACAGTATGTGTGTCGTCCTTGCGCAGAAGCCCTTGCTAATCCTCTGTGTATCGTGCAAATATGAACAGATGTCCCGAACTCATCTGCCTATTCCTCACAGGTTTCACTTTCTGGTTCTCGTATTGTTGTTCTTGGGGTTGGTGTGTGTGGACTGTTTGCTTGGCTTGCAGGTTGCCACACCCAAATGAGTGCGAACTGTACTATGTAAATAGGGACACTTTGTTTTCTTACCACAAGGCTAGTGAGGTTTTCCTGCAGGTTAGCATTCCGTGCTTCTTTCAATCCTTTCTTTCCTAACTTTGGCTCTCAAACTGTAATTCTTTTTTTTGTGGAGTGCTGAATCATCCGCAAAAAACAAATTGTCCGAGTTCATGGCACCGCTTTTGTGCTCTTTTCAAAGGTCAAAATTTCAACCTCATTGAAAAAACTGGTAGGCACATAGGTAGTCCACTTGCAAGGTGATGCCTGCCTGGATGATACTGGCCCATTGCCAATTGGATCGGCCAGGCCCGGTGCTCTCCCAGGAAAAGAGCTTGCGCTTGAACTCACGCCTCTGTGTTTGTTGGACACACTGACATGTGGCAGGGAGCAATGCCCCAACTGCAGTGCTATGCAGCTGTTAACATTTTGGGACGTGCAAAAAAAGAGCACTTTTCATTTTGCATGAAGTCCTCAGGTTTTACTGATTTTTGTACGTGTTTAACTCTAAAAAAAAAAAAAAAAAGAAACGGTGTCGACTTCCTAAGGATTGGGGAAGGGGAGGAGGAGGGGCAGAAGGCTGTGGAGGGGGGAATAGACTTCAGTGATGGGGTTTGGAGGAATATTGTTATTCTCGAAAAGTTCTTTCGAAGAACCACTATGCAGAAGAAGGAAGTGTAAGAAAACCGCAGAGGAGAAGCTCGAAATGCAAAAAAAACTGACCAGCATGCATATCGAGACAAGACTGCCATCTTCCCCCGAACATAAGGCACATGTGTTCTGAACACATACAAGGCATAGGTTGGGTTCTATTGCTTTAGACAGCACATGCGTTGTATTGGAGTTCGCAGCAGTAACTTTTTGATGATGGGGGAGAGTGGTCTGGGTACAGTAGGCTATTTTCTTTTGTGTGGCCCACGGCTTCTGACCGTGCCGCCGGAGCCACCTTGGCTGTCGCGGCTGCCCGGGCCGGGCGAGGGCCCAGGCAAGGTCCCTTCCCCCCCAAAAAAAAACTGAAAAGAAACTACGTTATGCAGAATAACAATCTAAACAACTTTTGCCTCAGAATCACACCGAAATACTTACCGAATTGAAAATATTAGAAATCGATAAGCTCGAAGGAAAGAAAAGAAAGAGTGAGTGCCAGATCTAAAATTTACGAATCTGGCTTTTTTTTTTTTTTTTTTTTTTGGGCCCTGCTGGGCAAGTGTTCCCGGGCCACTCTGGTAGCATAGTACTGGGCTCAGTTTTTCCCTATACGGTATGGGCCAGTGTTTTGTCATGTGCACTACCAGTAGGGGCCGCGGCTGAACGTGGCACACAAACAAATGCAAGAAACCCGAGGACAAACCTGGCAGACCTGCAGCCAAGTGCAGTAGGATGACAATGCAATAGTAGCAGGTGCAAACATAGACCCGTGGGGTGACCACTACATCCGCGTGATGGTTCCCCCCTCGCTAATGGATATCCAACGTTATAGTGTGTGTGTGTGTGTGTGTGTGTGTGTGTGTGTGTGTGTGTGTGTGTGTGTGTGTGTGTGTGTG